CAAAAGAGAATTTCACAACTTCATGGGCACGATGTTGTGCAGTAGAAGAATCTTCACTTACTAATACAGCTACAGTATCTGTGTTTTTGAATTTGCTACCTACTGGTAATGGATGGAGTCATTGCTCAGTTACTCATCTGAAAGGACTAAAAGCTAGTATCTGGCACCCAAACACAAACTCACATACAGTAGGTCAACTTCCACAACAGCAGTTCTATTCCTGGATTAATCTTCTCTTTCATGTTAACACCTACTCCTTTTAAGAACATGTTAACCCAGTTCATAAACCCCCCTTTGAAGCTGTTTTTTTGAATGACTAATTAAGAACATTACAGCACCTGTTCATTTCCACTTCAAAGCCAGAAGAAAATAAATGCTTTCAAGATGTGTGCATCCAACAGGTGCATCAACATGAATGTACAGTATATTCTATCAGTCCCTCATATCATTGCATAGTGTAAGTTATACTGTATGTGCACAGCAGAAGCACGTCAACACCGTCTGCTTTTGTCCATTACATTGTCTTCTGTCTTACAATATGTGGATTTGTGTCGATTCTGTGTTGCTGCATATCCATATTTTAGATACTGTCATACCTCTGCTCAAAATGGGGAATAAATTGTACTAACTAAAATTAGTATTTATTAGTATAGGGCTTGACCTACTGTATGTTCAGAGATTGGATTAATTGGATTAATTATTAGGAGTTCAACATACAGTACATTATCCCAACATTTCCAAGCATGAAGCATTTCTAATTTCTATCACTAAGGTGCTTCCCATCTTTTGAGTAGTTCCAGAGCAGCAATGTTCTTTATAGTGTGTCATGCTATGTGGCACTGGAGTGAGTATTTCCACATTCTAGCATCTGCTTGGATTAATGATTTTAAAATGTTAGGATACAGTACATATGCTGTATTTGCAAGCACTAACTTGTTCTTTTTTCTAATGATTTATGTGATGCTTGGTACAGTAAACTTCTTTCTTTAAATCCAAAACCAGTTTTGACTACCCTTCAAAAGGTGTATTTTGCGCATTTTAGGCAGTTTGCTAGTCATGTTAAATAAGACTAAGAACTGGTTATTATACTAATCCCCATGTGACTTTCCTAATACCCTCATCCAACAATCTGAATTATCCCCCTTCAAAGTATTTATAGTTTTCTTCACAGATCTTAAACTGCACATATCTGACAACTTAGATGAATAGTAGATTATCAGAATGAGTCCTGAAGATGGCATACCTGTCACTCAGGATGCGTATGAAAGGTCAGGGAAGATATTAGCTGACTGGAACTTGTAGAAGCTGCCTGTGCCTTTCCTCTGTCAGATACTAGCTATTGGATTTATTGTCATTAAACTAGAGGTGTATTGACCGAAATTTCATCAAAATGGCAAGTACACCTGACAACATGAAACATGTGTTAACATTTAATATGTAACCCAAAATATATCTTAAGTAAACTACCTCAGTGCTGAAACTATACAGTAGTTTCAGCAGAAATATTATGGCAAGCTAAATAAGCAACACTTTTTCAAGGGCTTATAAATTATCCACAGTATGGTTTCGGAAAATGAAAACACATGCTGTGACCAACCACAGACCTTTGCTTCAAAAACTCATTTGCTGGGAAAGCTTTGAGATTGCACAGAAATTCAAATACTCGTTTTTGGATTTTGGATACCTTTAAGGAGGGATTCTGCCTTAGAGGTATTCAGTCATAATACTATGGATGATGGCTTTGCAACATTGGCTCCTCAGCCAAGCAAAGAATCCAAATGTCAGCTTGTGATTAAATCTCAGGTTTATTTAGCTTTTAGTGGGGTGCTGGAAACACTCAGTAATAACTCTAGTTCACTGGAGTGAACAAAGGTTCACATTTTTCCAGCCCCCAATCAATCAATATCTTGCCAGAATTAAACCCTTTGGGGTAAAGAGAAATACTTTTGGAAATAATGTTTTATTAACTGAATAACTATATAATCTTATATATAATTTAATATTATATTATTTTTATGTAATGATATAATATATAATCATTCATTTTTTATTTCATCATGAGCAGAAACTTTCATCTAATCATCTGTCATCTTTCAAAGCCAAGAAAACAGTTGAATAATTAACATCAAGACCTACTTCCTTAAAACTTTGAGGCATTGCAAGGCTTGATACTACATCGTACAACACATCAATGATCTTGTAATAGCCTAGTATGTTTTCATTGCGTAGGTTGATTCTGCATGGACAACAGCTACAGTACTTACACCTCTACAAAACACAATACCTGATAATACAATACAGTAACACAACCTGGTTTCATAAGTGAATTGTGCACAACCTGGGACAAAAAGAAGGTGTGATCTATAATTTTCCTCTAACACCTCCTACTCAACAGCTGCTTTTCACAACAGAAACAATTAGGAAAATTAAGGGTGAACACCTGTGCAGTTAGAGGCACACAGCTAAACAATACAACCAAAAAGGAAAACTTGTATCAGCAGACTTGACAAACCAAATGTTTCTCATCTTCCTTTTTATTGTAAGTATGTTTTTCTGCCAGCACATTCCCTGAAAATGCAAATGTCTCCTTTGTCCATGTACTGTACTAAATCACACCTTCCCCCAATCTCTGAAACATAACTCTGAAGTGTTCAATGGCATTTTTCCACTTTAGTTAAAAATACTGCCTGTGGAAAACTTCAAAGCTCTCATTTATTATCAAATTATTAGGAAATCCTTCTAAAGAATTTGCTTAATCTTCGTGGGCAACATGAACAGGGTGTGGCAAGTATTGTACAAGGTTATGAAATATTTGCAGCACAATCTCACCTCAGTCTTCCAGTGCGAAAGTACTCAGTTTAGGTACACATGAGGTTCACTCTAATGTAGTGTGAGATTGTACTGTACCTTCTACTGATTCTACCACGTTTCAGGACAATTACTGTCATGGCCTGGGAAGGAGATGCAACACTGTTTTATGACCTTCAAGACAGCCATACTTTTGCTTACGGGTCTCTTCATTTGACATCCTGATAGCTTGTCCAGTTACAGAGCAAATGTGAGTGGACTTCTACTGAATTAAACATTTCCAAGAAAACCATCCTACAGACAGATTCAAGAATTCTAAGTGAAATTCTGTAGAACACAGGCTCCACTGAATGTATTGCTCAACAGAAATTAATTTACAGCATCATGTACAGTACAGCTTTCTGTGAACATTTTGCAATATGAATCACTTCTTTAGGTGCTGTTTGTTTAGGCTTTGCATGAAGCATGATGTTTTCAGTCCCATCATGCATAATGTTAGCTTGACACCTACAAGTCTACTAACCAGAAAAATCTGTGCTCCATTAGTCTAAAGACACTAGTCCAAAAAACACATTTTAGCCATATCACAGGAAACCAACACTGTTAGAAATTATACTTTTCTAATCAATGTAAATTTTTGGGTGCATGACCAGAGAATACTGATTGACCGGTAACCCTCATCCAGGTGTCCAGATGTCTTGAAAGTCCAGCTGTATTTCCAATCAGGATGAGTAACATTGCAAAGCTCAAATTGTATTCTACCCCCCAGCATTTCCAAAATAAATCTTGCCCTATACTGTATGTCTGGAATAAATTGAATTACAGATCAGGGAGTGAAGAAAAAGAATGCTCCTGATTGCTGACACTTAAAATTCAGAAATGAGCATTATTATTACTGCCAGCAAGCTGTGTCCTCCTACTGAGGGCATCCTCAGATGTGGGCTGTGTGCTTGGTTTCCATATTAAAGATTAAAGTCGCACAATTACAAGACACAAGATGAAGCCACAATGACAGAACTGATATTCCACTCTCCACTCTTGCCCTTCCCCATCTAGGAGGATCTTTATTAAAGATGGTAAGAAAATAAGGTCCTGTGGCTTCTGGGGGTATATTACAGGGCACTTCTCAAATCCAGCCTCTGTAAAGTAGAAAGGGCACACTGTATAACATATGTCTGGGTCTGTGTTGTTGGCCAGAATAGAACAGTCATTAAAGAGATAAGATATTCCTCTCCACAGTGCACCTAGCAAAGGATCAAGCTTTTTATGTGAAGTAAAAGACATAGTTTGTTAACATGTCTGTCTTCTGCTTTGTCAGTGTAGTTTGATTAGTCTGAGACAGGCTATTGCTCCACTCCAGAATTCAGCAAGCAAGTTGAGCAAGCCCTTGAAGGGAAAGCCAGTTGCTCACAAAGCAACTAAAACACTTCACAAGATATGGACAGATCTTAGTAATGTGACTAAAACACATAATTTATGTGTTTGGCTTCAATCTACTCAGTTTAGGAGAAGACCACCAGGCATAAGGAGGAGTCGGGGGAAATGATGACTTTAAGGCCTATTTTCATATCATTTTCAGAGGAAGCTATGAGCAAGAATTGGGACTTGTCTTTCTCTGAAACGTGCTTTATGAACTGGAGTATGATATTGTTTAATAAACTGAGAGATAACGACTACTGCTACATCTACCACAGGAGCTCTTACTCCTATTAATAATAATAATCACTGTGGAAAATATTTTCTCAAGATATCAAAAGCAGAGAAATGTTTAAACAAAGATAATGTAAATAAAGCACTTCGTTTATACTGTATGATTACATATCACTTACAACAATCCAGTTATTGCAGAGAAACAATGTTTCATGAAGATATGATTTACTCAGCCTTGATACAAAGGCTACCCAATACTGTTTCTATACACAAAATAAATAAAAAAAACATTTTTAAAACAACAAAAAACAAACAAATTATTTCTGTACATTATTGATATTTTATCACACACTCTAAAATAATTTGAATATTCTTACACCGATATTGGAAATAAACATTGTGAGTATAGATGAGGGGTCTTAATAATTTCAGCAAATGAAGAAGGAACAAAAGTGCAATAAATCTCCATCATGGTGGGCATGACGCTGTGTGAGACACTAAGAGACCTCACCACTGGTAAGCTGTTCCAGACATATACTTACAGTCGCTTCATTTCATATGTGGCTGCAGCCACTATCAGGGACTCGACCCCTACTGCGGCTGGTGGAATCTCCTCCTCCTGCGATACTTGGAGCCTCTGGGATCGCCTTTGCGTCGCCTTCAAGATGAACTGATTCAATTCATCGTTGAACTTCTCCCAGTCTTGCCTGACGGCATAGAGTGAGAGAGATGGAGGTAAGCAACATGGCTGCCTGATCCACACTGCAACTTCAGCGTAACTCTTGCCAACATATGCAATCACTCTTGCTAGGGCAATTCATTTTATTGATGAGCTCAACAACTTCCCTGCCCTCGCCCTCTGCTCCCTGAATCTTGCTAGGTGACTTCAACAGTCCTCTGTCCAATCTCTACACCTCTGCTGGGTCTGGGTCTGACACTGGTTAAATGGCTCATCTAAATGGTAATGTCTCCTACAGCAAGGTTTTTTCCCATCACCACAATTCTGGTCCAGATGGAAGGGTGCCACCTACTGGTCCACCAGCATCACTAAGAGAAGTAACTGATTTTCTATTCCAGTACTGACCAGGCCCACCCTTGCTTACCATAAGAGATCTGACAGGATCTGACCCAAAGGTGAAAGAAGGATCTCCCAAGTGTTAACCAAAGTATGATTCTAATATATTTTTTCCATCTATTTTCTAACTGCTGTATCCAATACATAGTCAAAGGGGAGCTGCAGCCTATCTCAGCAAGCAGCAGGTGCAAGGCAGGATACACCCTGGATAAGACACCAGTCCTAGCAGGGCACACACAGACACACACAAACACACACCTAGGCCAATTTTCCCAGAAGCCACTTAACCAACAGTCTTTGGACTGTGGGGGTAAACTGGAGCACCCAGAGGAAAGCCAAGCAAACACAAAGAGAACATACAGACTATAACTATACAACTATACAAACTACAAAATATTGCACCCCAAAAACTGATCCTGGACTCTAGCATCGCAAGGCAGTGGTATCCCAAATATATTTTTACTATATTTAATTTAGTAAATTAATATTAATACTAAATTAAAATGCAACAGTTTCAGATTTTAATATATTTAATATTATTATCTATTGTGCTAATAATTGTCCTTATTCACTGTTAATATGGAATATAAACCAGTTTGGTGTTTAAATTACTGCTCTGCTTCCACACTGTGTGACATTTGCATTGCTCTTCCAGTTAGTATTATCTTTGTTATTCTATTATTTAACTTTATTGTTCCTGCTCAACTGTTTCTTGTACGTACAAGTAGCACATTGTCATTTTTCTGCATTGTAACACTGTAAGGCATGCTGGGTAAGGGCATCTGCTAAGCACATAAATAATAAAAATAGATTCAAGGAGATTAAACAGGGAAGATCCCTGCTGGAAGGTCCAAATCTGTACAGAAAAAGGGTAAACAAGGTTTTACAGAACAAGTGGGCCTTGACATTCAGAGTCGATTTTTTTCTCATCTAAACTCGGGTGTGTTTATAACTTCATGTGCAAAAGAAAATTCTGCCATTTTTATCCATATTTTCAGAAGATGAACTGTGCGCAAAACGAGGTCAATTGATGCTCTATGCAGCCTTTTCTGGGGAAATGTAATGCTGAAGTGGCTGCTGTGTGAATTTCCTGGGAATGGGTACTGTGATACGAAAGATGGCAATTTGTCCAGAGGGATAAAAAGACGTGCCTTGCCAAAGCCTGCCTGGGCTCCCACAGTTACTCTCGCTAAACCCAGTTAATCTCATTATCTCTCCTCTATAGCTGTTCATGTCATTGGATATTTGTCTTGTCTGTGTTCGTACTAATCAAGTTCCAAATGTTACTGTATACTTTCATTTTTTGCGTTAAATTTTATTTTTAGGATATTTAAATCTTCAAAGATCAGGCAAATGTTTTTTAAAAAGCAGCGGAAAACGCAAGCTTTCATGACTACCCTCCTGTCACATGTCCCATTCCCCTTTCTAAACCTTCTTTAAGCTGAAGTGTTACATGAATAACGTCCATGATATGGACATCAAACATACCATGCCGCATGGTATTGTCACTTGGTTGACAAAGTCGATAACCATGGATTACAGGTTAATTTCAAATCTGGTCTGAATAAGTCGTTTCCAAACCAGTCCCGTCTTCCCAGACTTCAGCCTATACGGAGATCTAAATATATTCAATGCTCTATGTGGTCAATGTATCATAAGGGCCTTGTCATGTTGACCAAAACACTTCTACAAACAGGCGATGTCCTTATCTAAAAGAAGTGAATACTTATAGTTGTGAACAATGAAGACTATGAGAGGACTTGATTCAAGTTATTGAAACCCTCATAAGCACTGACAAAGTAATCCTGAAGCAATTCCAAAGCAAGCACCAACAGTGAAAAACAAACCAGAAAATAAAAATGGAAACAACAGGGAAGTGTATTTAAAACTGAGAATACAAGGCACCGTTTAACACAAAATGTTGTGGGAGTTTTAAACGAGCTACCCATGTAGTCAAAATTCATACCCTTTTTTCAAGAGACAGCTGGATGAAATCCTCAGATTACAATTACCTAATTGCAAACAAATGAGCCGGAGGAGCCTCCTCCCTTTATTATGTTCTTGTAATTTTCACAGCCAGTACGAAATATATTTGGTTATTTGGTGACTGAAGAAGAGCACATGCCCATGACTGTACCTGTTAGAGTCCTCCTCTGACTCATCTTCATCATCTGTGCTGCACTCCGCATCACTGAATACTTGAGAGAACCGTCCTTGTGTCTCCTCCCCTGGCTCCTTGTACACCTGGAGAGTGGTGGCGTCAGTGCGGATGGGAAACTGGGCCCGCTGTCTATATTCATCCAGAACGTCTGAACACAATGAAGGCAAAAGGTGCAAGAGGGCAGGCATTCATCAGATTATGTGCTGCAAAAGTGATGTGGTGTGATGGTGTTTTTAAAGGAGACAAACTCAATGGTCAAACTTGCCATGAAGAAGAGGTTCATTAATTTGACTTTTGACATATATTCCTGATTTATATTTTGAAATACAAATCTAGATAAGCAATCCATCACAGTAGATAGAAATCTGTGGTGGCTCATGTGACCAGCAATTCTGATTACTTTGCTGGTACCTTGGTGCTGGCGGACCAATACAATAGTGCTGGCTGTGGAGGAGTGGACAGTGGAGTACAGGTCTTCTGGTCCCACGTCAGGCAGGCAGACATCATAAAGTGCAATGACTGCACTCAGGATATCACCATTCTGCACCTGTACAGACAACAGGGGGGAACAGAATCAATCTCTCAGAGTGGCAAAGGCAGTTTGCACAGACAACTAAAATTAACTTCCTGGAAGGACACAGGATACCCTCATTATTTTTGTTATAGACAAGTGTACTGTAGATCTATGAATCTATATAAGTTTTTTCTCCACAACTGATCTTTTACATGTGCAACTTATTCCAGTTGCTTTACCTTTAAAAAATTCTGGACCTGTGGAAAAGCATGAGATCTATGAAACTGATAAACCAATCTGTCCACTAAGTAACTGAGCGTTCAGATAAAAGAAAAGGAAAAGTGGATTAGATCTACCATCCAGCTTAAAAGACCTAGAACAGTTCTTAGTTTGGCAATAGAGTCTCAAACCCAACCGGCCTGGAAACAAAACAGGACAAAATAATTATTCTGATTGCAACCACGGTAAGTTGAAACCAAATGATAAAATGAGAATTGTTATACAGTACAGGTTTGTTATTAATAATAAAAATAATGCTGTTTTCAAAGTTTTGAGGTTCAACTGTGACCAACATCTGAAACCTAAAAACATTTCCCCTTAAAGAGCTCTGTTTCAGCCACACTGGCTGAGTCATCTCACTCATTTCTTCCCACAGTGCTGATTAATCAATCCAAAAGTCTTGCAGCTGTCCTTCCGTAATCACATCACTCAGTGTTTCCAGAAGCTATGGTCTGAATAATGAAATACCTGTTTCACACAGGCCTGTTAGTAAACAAACACATAAAATAACAGTCCAGTTCTGAGAATGAGGAACAACAATAGAAATATAACACCACAAACTTGATTTTCAGTCTTCGGAAGGCATTAGCATGTTGTTTTATAATACTTCATGGTCCAGGGCCAAATTCCACCTCAGTGGGTCTCTGTATAGAGTCTGCATGGTCTCCCTTGTGTTTTTTTTGTTCACAAGGACATGTAAGTTAGGTTTAGTTGGCTATTAGAAAATCTTTTCATTCTAGGGTGGGATTTAATTCTTGTGGGGTGTTCCCAGTATAACCAGTACCTGCTACATGGAACTGTAGAGCTCAATGAGCACAACAGGGTGAAAGGCCTTTCTCCTGTACACTTTGCAATGTTCTGATATCCCAAGTGAATCCTCCTCTCACCTGTCCCTGGCCACAGGAAGCCTTTGGGATCCCAGTGCAGAAAGTACTGTATCTGTTCATTTGTCATTCAATTTACAGTACATAGATGAAGATTCTTCTCTTACGGACAGCCTGTACACCTCAAAAGTATTCTAGGAGACGTGCCAAGCACAGTATGTTGTTTGAGATATTTCACGCCTGAGTCAGTTTGTATAGTGTAACAGCACTTTTAATGGATACCAAATAGCATCTGTAGTGCTATTCAGATTGCCTACAACAGTGATTCGTTATCATCTTGATATGTCAAAAATGGCTCTCAGGGCATATTAAAAGTTATGGGGGCTTACACTGCCTGTTTACGTGTACACAAATTAATTAAAAGGGATGAGTCCATGCATTGTTCAGGGCTGTTTGCGTGCAGTGTGAGGAGAGATATGAACTCTCGGAAATATGACCTATATTTTAACTTGTTTCTACAGCTTGAACGCTTTTGAGTCTGTGTGTAATGAGGAGCGCTTTATCTCCTGTATTCAAGCCTATTTAATATTCTTGCAATAAATCTAACAGTCAAAGACAAAGACAAAAGCAAATGAGAAAAAAAAAACGCATGGTTAATAATATTCTCATTTCCACAACATATCAATGTGAATATACAGTATAAAATGAAATAAAGGCCAATGAATGTTTGTGCACATTGTACACATAATTTCAAGTTAACCCTTTATAATGTGGAAAAAAATCTACACATCCTATTGTTTCTTAATTCTAACTTGAACATTTAGAGGAATATACCAACATTATCAAGACAACAGACCAAATAAGAAAAAACAGCTGTTTAATACATGTGGAATATGGTGTATTCTCACACTTGGCCTCAATGTCTAATGCACTTCCAAAACAGCCATTTTCTACCTCTTTTTTATTAGATGATCAGGGAAATACTATGCCATTCAACCTCTAGACCTACTCCCAGAGCAAGCAGGGAGAACGGTCTATTGTCTTTTCCTCTTTCACAGCTCTGATTTTCCCCAAAGGTATTGTACATAGCTGAAGCCTTGACTGACTAAGCCAATATATTTTCAATTATTCAAAATATTTCTAAATATTCGCAATACAAATATTTTGAAATAATTTCGAGACACCTCTTTCCTTGTGTCTGGCCCACTGGCAGTTAAAAGGACCATGATATTCCAGTTTCCAGAGGTGCATCATGTGGCACTACAGTACAAATACAAGCCCTGAATGTAAAATTCCATCAATAAGGGCAGAACTCAGTCATCTGTTTGCTGCATACAAGGTGTTCATCACAAAAACTGACTGCCCAAGTCAAAACTTCTACCCCTCCTTCATGTGGAATTGTGAGGGCATTGCAGTGGGGATTGAATCCTTTAATGGGCTGAACTTTTATATCAGAAGGAGTTAGGATTCAGAGGGTGGACACATCCACTGGACATATCCCTGCTGACCTTTGCCCCACTTTCAATAGTCTTGAAACAACTACAACCTCCTGCATATTCATGTATCAATATTGGCTTGCAGGCAGGTACCACGACATAAAATCCTTGTCCAGGTAATTTTCTTCCTACAGCACATCTGTGTGCGTGGTTTCCTGTGTGACATTATAAATGCCAGACATTGGGTTTGTGTTCACCATATTCTGTATGTTGCATAGGTAATCTTCCACTGCTGTAAACTACTCCCTACGTCAGCCTATGATCCAAATATGACCCTGCAAATTTAAAGTTTGATGTGCAGTATAACACATAATCCTCTTTGAGTGTTAAACCTCTGATTCACACTGGCAGGTGGGGACACACTGGTGGTGGTGGGTGGGAGTCCCCATTACTGTACCTGTACAGAACTTTGAGCAGAGATTCCATAAGAGTACTACAGAATATAAGTGTAAGGAATTATTTTATTCATTATTATTAATTTTTATTATTTCAAGTTTAATTTCTATGCAAATGGTGAAAGGCTAAAAACCTTACAACTGTCCCTCCAAACTCTCCCAAATCATAAGCAACCACCAAGAAACTGCCCACCTGCTAAGCCAATTAATATGATACCCACAGTGATTGCCTAGTGTAACATAAATTAAACATTAATACTGTGACAGCTGCAAGTTGTCACTCAAGATTTAATTTAGCATGCACTTGAGATTTAATATGATGGCCACAAATACTATTTTAAAACCTTTAATAGCTTCTATGCTTTTTAATTGCTAATTGCAAGTATTTTTATAATAATTAATAATATTGATATATAGATATTATAGAATTACAATTAACATATGGCTAAATGATACTGGCATTTACTTGCACATTAAAACATTTAAAACTGGTTCTTAGCTCTGGAGCTTTAATGAAACTACAAAAGAGGGACAGTATTGCTGAACCTTCTTGTTCCATTTCAATACAAACAATTTGGCTGAGGCAGTCATCTGTTACAACACAGAAGTTCAAACACAACCAAAAGTGGCGTTGCAAAGCTTTGATAAGAAAGGTCATCGTACGTAAGGGTTCAATAAAATACCAATCACTACATCTAATCTAGTAGGTCTACATGCATATACTTATATATATATATATTAATCTTATGAGACAAGGACTCTTGCTCCTGTATCCATTTCAATTGTTCTTCAATGAGGTGGCTTAAACCCAATGAAAACAGAATCTGACTTCCAATTACTTCAGAGGGCACTGCCAACCTTCAGTTCTTTTGTACACCAGGTGGGTACTAGATACTTAACCAAGAATGGTGGATCTTAACCAAGAATTACGAATTGGGAAGATAAAGAACAGAAATAGAATTACTATGGAAAATGCATCATCAATGGCAAGAGCTGATCTTCAACTCCCTGTGGAGTGCTGCTGCAGGAGCTGAATTCCCATTATTAGACCATTACTCCTGTAATTTCTGGAGCTGGCGGTGATAACAATCCGGACATGATTGAGCCGTGATAATACGTCTGGCTGCTCACTCCAGCGGAAATTAAGTGACAAACAAAAAGGTATTAAAGTGATTTCCACTGGTTATTTAACTATTCATAATATCTCATATCTCAGATCACTAAAGATTTTTTATTATTATTCATTTAAGCCTTGTCTTTTAGGTACACAAAAATATACTGCAACACCACTTCTCACTCAGAATAGAAAACTCACACACTGATAATTATACATCCAGAGAATTTTATTTCCCTGGTTACCACAGAACATCATGTCCTTGCAGTTTCCTTTGCATATTTGTCACACATGTTTACTATGTTTCATATCTCCTTTCATCTTTGTGGATGAGTGCTTGTCTTTTCAATTCCAATTGTATGTCTTGTTGCATTCAATAGCTAAAAAAGGATACAAAAGTTTATTTTTCTAACAGTGGCATTCAAATTTAAGAAAGCAGGATGCTTTATTACAACAAACTGGGCTTTGGACCTTCAATTTTAAATACCAATGTTCTAACCTTCAGATATGTCAGGCTGTTTAGCAGGGCTTATTTTATCACTTGTACATAGAAGCCTGATATATCAGCTTGGATAATACTTAGTATTACATATCACTGCACAGTATGTACAACTCACAGTAGGTAACAGTAGAGACAATACTATTTGTTATTATTTCAGTGTTTTATCTTGGAAGAAAAGTATGTGGTCAAACTCTGCATTTCTAACATTAAATTTTGCAATGTTGAAAAATGATTTACTTTCAATTGCGCTACTAGTCCAATGCTTCAGACACCACACAGTAAACTTTAATCAAATATTTAAACAGGTAGATTATGACTTGAAAATATGGGTTGTGCTTCCTTGGACAACTTTGTTTTGGTTACAGAATTTCTCTTCACTAAAGTGGTTAAGTTCTTTGGGAGGCCTGGGTTTGAAAACTTTTAATTGTATTATTACACACGTTTGTTTTGTGCTCTACTTGTTTAATGCTGACATGCCAGTATCTTGGCATTCACTTCATGTATCTCCATGATATAGAAGATCACATTTAGGCTTCCGTAATTACACAATTAATTAAGATTGTAAATTTACAAAATCACAGAAATAAGAGATCATCAGTTCCTTACAGGTGATTATCCTAGTCATCGAATGATCCAGGTAAATATTTTCTTTTAGCTTAAAATATGGCAAGATGTACAGATCAGTTGAATGAATATACACAGTATGATGATGCTTCTGCTGTTTCTAACAGTGCCACAGTGCATTCAGTGCCACTCTATAATTGATAAGAGCATACTGTACACTTGCCAGATAAAGCATTAGTGTGTGCTCGGTTGCTATGAACTGTCTCAATTATGCTGTTTGAGCACTATAAAGGGCTAGCTATTATGTGTCAACAGGGACGCGTTAACAAACAAAGCCATTCACTTCGAACCATGGGCAAGCAGAAGAATGCCAGTGACTCTACAACTAAATTGAAAGCAATGTACTGAGTACATACATACCTGTACTAAGTACAGTATATACATTGCTCTTTATCAGCTGATTGAAATTTACATAACTCTTTCTTTAATGCAGACATGCAAATATTCCACCCTACATTTTTCTATGCTATTTTGTGTTGAGTTTTTTATTTGATAGGCTATGTTCTTGTCCAGATAGTGGGTCACTTTTTTCTTAAACAAGCACTGGTCAGTGCCTACAGCCTCTTCAAAAAGAGTAAAGGAATCTGTTATGTTTGGAGACTATGAAATTTGAAAAATGTTTTGTTGATTGTTTGCTTGTTTTATCAGCACCAGATATTCATGACAGATATTGATTCCTCTCTTGTCTAATTAGGCTTTTAAAAGCAGGTAGAGAAAACTGAAAACACATTAAAAGCTGGCAGGCCCAAATATAAGTAGCTCATAAACCACATAAACTTCTTCTGCAACCCTAGACAGTCTGCCAGGCGTGTAACTGGAATGGGAACAGCCCCAAAGCACTGCCGACAGGCAGCATCTACACACTGATCAAGCTATAGGAAACTACACAACTACACAGATCACTGCATCATTTTGCAGCACAGCTACAGTACCTCCTAATTTGACCATTTCTGTCAACTAAATGTAAGTCATACAGGAGATTTTCCCTCACTTGTCTCCAGCCATGGATCTGCTTGAGACTGCCTCATTTTGCTGTGCAAGTGTCCTGTACTGGATTATTCTCCTGGTTTCCTTCATTGCACTTCTGCATCTTGTGCTTGTATGAAGGTTATCCTGTACTGCACAATATAAAGTTCTAGATATTAAGGTTTTCCTTTTATGTGAAACACACCATTATTTTGTGAACAGATTATTTTCCAGAACAAAACAAATTGGATACAAATCCCCCTCATCCCTGCATACCACTCCTGGCCCCATCAATCAGTTACACATCTGTCATCCCTGCCCCTCATTACATCTTTCTTTTTCTTTTGACATCTTCCTGACTTTCCTGCAGTGGCAGAAATCCAGTGCTGTACTCCTAAACTGTACTCCCCACAAGTCCCAGCAACACAAACCTCCATATCCAATGAGATCAGGGAAGGAAATACAGAGGTTCCCAGTGGAAACAAGACACATTTTGGTAACTACTACTCTTTTATGTATCTTGTATAGAGTTGAAAGTATAATTCTGGCCAGTATATGAAATTTCCTATTATATGCCAGCATAAGGAAGGGGCTAAGTACTTTTGGTTGAGGGGAAATAATACACATCTGTTCTGCAAGACTGCTTTTGATATATACTGTAAACAGTTTTGCCTACAATCCATAGTACAGGATATCAAAAAATGGAGAAACGCCAGTCTCAGGACTATTGAACCCTGGAAGCTTCTAATCCACTCCATCTTCTTAATGAGATGCCCAGGTTACTATCCATTTAATAATTAAAGCTCTGTGGGTTGACTTTGTCATTCTTTCAGGTTTTCTGAATGCTTTCTTCTATGGCTCCTGGTGTTTTGTAAAGTTTGTTTTTCTTTCTTTGTTTTCCTTACAATAATGACCAATGTTATCCTTTCGATAATGCAACTGTCAAAACTCATCACACTACTCAGCAATGCAGCAAACACGTTTCACAAAGGATCCCTTAATTGGAATTCAATGCATAAAATAAAACATTCTGCTGGCCTTTTTTCACTTTCCATACAATGATGTGCCAATATAAATGCATATGTTCTTTCTAGAGGCTGGGTCCTAGTTCACAACTGTATACTATATGACATGCAGACCTATATTAAGACATAGTACTTATTACTATGCTTTCTGGAAAAAAGGTCCACAAAACTCAACTTATTCAACATTTTCAGGGGACGATGTAGTTTGAGGATTCTGCATGCCTACATTTATAAATAGTCGCGTGGTCATGGTTTGTGTTAGTCTTCTCAAAGAGCATGCATAGCTCTTCCTACAGTATATAACAGTTAAAATCTATGATATATACAGTATTTCTATTTTTTTTTAAATCACACATGGATCATACACTGACATGCAGCGATTTGTTAAGACATTCACCTCCACAGCAGATAGAGACCAAGGAAATGTTGGAAAATTTTAAATTATATTGTTGCTTTTTGGGGGGTTCTTAATGGCCGTTGGCTTAATACAAGTAACCACTAATAGACTCTTCTCTATAAAATAATAACTCTTCTATATAACATAATAGCTTCAAAAGTGGCTTTCTTGGAACAGATGTAATCTGGATATTACCTGTGGAACGACAGATGGTGCAGAAGACATCCGGAGTAACTGATGGAAGTTCACTCTAATGGGCAGTACAGTAAATGTCTTCTGATTATCCTCACTGTCTTGTTGCTGTTGTTTGAAGACCACAGCAGGAAAACAGACAACATTGCCTTCTGCCATTCGAGGTGCTGATTGTCACCGTACCAAAGAAGCCTGCAGGACAACAAAGTTTAACATTTTGCAGCATTAAAAAGCTGTCAACCCAAGACAATAGAACATCTTCGTTACGACAGTTCTAAACAAATTATCTGATAAGATGCGATATTTAATATCAAAACTACACATGTACATCATAACTGGGGGGGGGGGGATATTTGGAAAGACATGCCTCCTGTGTCATCTCAAGCCCTGAGGAAGGTCTCTGTAAAATACAGTTTGGTGCTCCTCTTATAACAGCACTTGTTCCTTTTTCGAAAACACTGAGGAACATGATACATTTATTGCCTGTGACTTGGGTTTGTGGTGTACTGTACATGTATGTAAATGGGGTGAAGACCAGAACACTACACAGAATTAGAAATGTATGTACTGTACCCTTCACCTGCAGTGAACATTGGTGTGTTTAAACGACTTTCTTTATTGAATGTTTGTTCACTCTCTTTGAATGTTAAGTGCATTGGTCCTAAGGGGAAGTGTAAATTGAGCGAAATATCAAGAGCAAATACTGAAGACATGATAGAGTGATGAAAATGCAAAATTATTCATTTGGTAACATTATTATGCACTGAGATCAAGATTATGCATTCTTCTTATGCAATTGTATAATCAAATAATCCCAAAGGATCTGTTAAATACTTCTACTCCATGTTTTGTGATTTAAATTCTGGTGGGATGATAATTATTCTTCAGTTACAATTAAATAAAGTAGTTTAGTCAGTTTAGCACTCTTCATACGTACAGTAACTCCCAGGGTGCAAAGGAATAATGGAACAGTTTTGAAAAGCAGACTCAAACATGTTTCTAAAAAAAGTGACAATTGTGCTGGAGTTTTTAATATGAATCGAAACCATTCTCCTATGGCAACTGGATAGTAGCTCCAGCAACAAGCTTTCAAACAGCAAATCTCTGAAAAACAGAGATGGTTTCACAAACCACTTCCAGATAACTGCTAAATCCAATTCAACAAAACCTAGGCTAACAGAATCCAATACCTGTCTTAAATGATTTGATGATGTACTGTAGTGGATAGTTACATTTATGGATTTTGGTACTGTATACCAATTTAGCGGTTCTGCAATAATCACTTAGACAAATTGTAACCATTGTTTCAGATTATACCATCACAGTCTCTCCATTGGCGTGGCTCACTGGCGATGTCCCACATTTTGAGCCACGGTTCAAAGTTCTAACGAGTCCTAGGCAGCATCGCTCCACTGTGTCCATGCCCATCACTGCTTTTCAGCTTATCATTCTGGCCCCCCATCCCAAAAATCAAGGGCAAGATGACCCATAAAAAACTAAATATAACCAAACCATAATTATCCTGTTTTCATGTAAGCTCCCATTTTCCCATGTCATGTTTATCTACTGTATTTAAGTGTTTTAAACATTTTTTGAATGTGCAGAGGGTAATTAGAAAATGCGATCAAGAATTAAAGATTGAAAACCAAGCGGCCTCTCAAGGCAAGGGTTGAGAATCACTGACCCCATGCACTTCACCCCAGCAACTTTTTGCTAGTTTTCCAAAGAAGCTCATTACTACACTTGTTTAGAGAAATAGTTTGGATGTTGATCGAGCTAATTGTCAGTCCACTGAGGTTTACTTCTATGGGTAGTATACATCAAAGAGAGGGATACCCCAGCACATAACATACTGTAACATTTCTAAATGTAGCTGGAAATTTGTAGCTTTTATTAGACATTCAGATTAAATGTTGTACTGTAACTATGTTCCAAACACTTAAGACTCATGTTGTGTATATTTGTTAGGTTATGTTACTGGGGAATGCTTTAACACATTATTAAGATGTCAGATTCTTACAAAGCTGACAAGCAGCAAAGGGAATCACTGGCTTTGAGCCTCACTAAGATAGAACCTATTAAATGTGAGAAGAGTTGACAACTGCATCTGTTAATTGTAAAATAGATTGAATTAGTTTGCCAGTTAAATACCCCAATGCACATCTTTTGTCAGATTAAATACTGTGAATCTGACAGTTACCCCAAAGCAAGTAAGACAGTGCATTAATGGTAATCAAGTAACATTCATATTTTATAAAAATGTTAAGGAAATACTAATCATTCTGGCATAAATCAGAAGTGACAGTACAGCACTTTTTTAATCTTTACTTTGCAGTACTGCAGAGTCCGAGCTGGCCCAGTGTTTTCGTTTTCAGCTATGATATACAGTTACTTCACCAGCAGTATTAGTAACTTACACACGGCCAAGCACAAATCAAAGATTCTAGGCAAGACACCAAATTACATTTTGTGCTGCGAAGAGTGAAATATATTGTTGCGCACACACAAATAAAATTAAAATTAAGCACTGAGCATTTTCTACTAAGGCATCGCAGATGATTTGAGCACGGAACAATGTGCCATACTTCCAGAATGCTTGCGCTCCAATCCCCCGTTTGTCAGGAGTGAAAAGCAAAGGAGTCAGTCAGAGGATGACACCTAAAGAGAAATGCCACAATCCAGGAAGTGGAACTTCCAAGAAGTACAGACCGCACATGCAGCACAGTACCACTGGCAGTGGACATTATACTGTAGGTCTGGAGGTAAAGCAAAGACAACAGCAGGGTCTGTTTTCTACCTGAAGCAATCTCTCCTTATAAACACCTTCAGTTAAAAATCAAACTGTTAACACTATAAAACACTTTAAATAATTATATAAATTGAATAGATTCACTATGATCTTAGTCAGCCAAAATTCAGCAGTGAATCAAAATCACTAGCTGCTTAAGATGTTTTACACAAACTTGTAGTGAAAAGTATCCCCTTGTTTCCCTGCACACCCTGAATGACTCCCTGCTGTCCCCTGGACAAATCATTGTCCAGTGTTGATTTAAAACACAGCAGATACTTGGACTTGAAAAGAAATGTGCGAGAGATGGAAAGCTGTCCAGCAGACATAAAATCAGCTGAGTGGCCAAAGAGGCACTGTCAGGGAAAACAACTGAGATGAGAGCAGTGATGCAATGATATCGTGATCGATTGAGCTGCTAATGACCAAGTAATTCCCTAAAAGCCTTTTTTTAATCCCAGGCAAAATGGCAAAACCTGGCCGCACCAAATTGTTCTTGCAAATAAAGTATATCAGAAAATCATTTTTGTAAAAAAGCAGAAGTGTGTGGTTTTACACTAAAACCTACCTAGCTAAGCTGGGTTTGTACTGTATATGCCAACGTCAACACAGATCCTGAGGGTGATTTCCTGGATCCTTCAAGATTTGACAGGATTAAATCATAACCTATCTGCAATGAAAAGAGCAGGAGAGCAAAATCAATCAGAATGCCTCATCTACTTTCTAACATATTATGCTCTTCTAATCCAAGTTCATTGTTCAAATTCTTTTTGTAGAAACTTTGTTGTATTGTGATGCATTAAACATTTTACAAAAACTGACATTTAGTCTTACAATAATCAATTATTTTGAACAGATTATTTAGTCAAATTGCTCTTCTAGTGTCTAATTGACATATTGTGCAAAATGTGGTACAACTGTCAGACCAACTACTGTTACTATCCCTTTGATGTTTTGGAATATCAAAATGTGACACTTGAATCATATCGAAGTGCAGGCTCTGCGTAACTAAATCTTGACTCATGAGCCTTCCCACTTAATAAGGCTTTGATATCACAGTTTATTTACTAACAGTAAGCTTGATTTAATTGAGACACCAAAGCAGACTAAATAAGACAGGGTAATGCTTAATGCACTTTTTGACTAATACATGCTTATGCTGAATTTGTAAAAAAAATACCCATTGGTTATTTGCATAAGGATAGAACATTCAGATGTTTTCAACATGTATATCTGGACTTTGAGTGTCTGAGTACAATTTACTGAGATCGTACAATTTACTTAAAACTCGTTTTACCAAAGATCCTTATATTTCCATGGAATTTACATGTTGCTGATGCATTAGAGAGAATTTTACACTTGTGCTCCACGAGTAAGAGAGTGTTAACTTTCATGTCTTCAGAGAAAAAACAACATTGATAAAAAAAACACGTTTCAAAACAATATTAGGTGTCGAAAAAGTTTTAACGGACGTTCTCAAAGCTGGTCTGGAGTCCTTTACTTTTTATTAATATACTGGTATTAATATAGATCTAAAATATGCTATATTATTGTCGTATATACATTTAAAAAACTGAGTGTATCGTGCGGTACACAATTAGTTCAGTGATTGTACTACCGTCCAAGCAGTTCAACTTTATAAACATAATATTCCGTAACGAGTAGAACTGCATTTGTTGAATGCAATAAATATTACGGACAAAGACGGTTCTACAAGTTGAAAGAACCAGGCGAGTAAGAAAAACTGCAATAACAACGACAACAATAACAACATAACAGTTTAACTCCACTTTTTTGATACATCATAAAACTAAAATACTACCTACTGTATATAGTAAAGGACAAAGTTAAGAGCACAGCAGGTGATGTAGTTTTTTATTCATATCACCATTGAAATTTCCATATACAGTACCCTTACCTTTTTCTCTTCCGCTTTAAGGCAAACACTGTTGACGGTAGCTATGGATACCGTGTACCAAGCTTCCCTTTGCTTTCTGGGAAATGTAGTTCCCTGTCTAAGCCGTTGAGTTTCCAGGTCTTTGGGAAAGGTAGCCTGTAAACCAGTGCTTTATTTGTGTCATTTGTATTTATAGGAGAGGCGCCTTGAAATGAAAACATTAATTTTAGTTATAAAACCAGAAATATCAAACTCCCTGTGAAGTTGGTCCTAACTATAGATCTCGGTCTGTGATATCGGGTTTCACCCAATCAGGTGGGAGAGAGCTGGGTGACAGAGAAAGTTGGACTGATTGGCCGAGACCTCATTGGGGGCGTGGCTTCCGTACCAGTATGACGTCAAAGGAGCTGTTCAAGACTGGTGGTGCTGGAAGAGCACAATTCAGTGAGCGGAACTCGGGGCAGTATATGGACCTTTTCCCTTCTCTGCATTAGAATGGGAACATATCGAAAGGATCCTGTCTGGGCTCGCGAAAGTGACTGACGCCAACGCAGAGCTCCACACGCTCCAGGCTGGTCTTCACCAGAAACGGTAATTTCGCTCAGTCGCCTCTTGTTCATGCCACGAGTTGGAAGGATGAAGGGGGGAATTGCAGTGAGGCACGACCACGTTGAGCTGGCCATCACTAATCCCAAAAGGCATTTTACGGGCTCCTTTACATTGACTACTCTCGTCTTCCCGCGGTGTGTGAGCCAGTCTGGGTAATCTTTGTGCCAACAGGCTCAACGCGTGCCGCTGCTATTTGAATACTGTCTGCTCTGTATTTGCATGTGTTGGGACTGCAGGGAAGGACTTGTTGTGTCAATAGGTAGGGCGGGCGCTTCTTGTCCTAGGCTGTATCTGAGTCGCTGCACGAGTGTGAGTGAATGTAGATATGAGGTAGATACGGTCCGTCTCACCTCCCTTCCCCCAGGGGTACAAACGAGTACACCAGCTGTACACGAGGCCGTGCTGCCGCGTTCATCGCTGTCATTTAGACAGGGACTCCTGCTCTGCACTGGTTGTCAGGCTGTTGTCGCGATCTGCATTTTTTTAATTTCCTTTGAAATTGCAGGAAGTATTTTACAGCCTTAAAGCTGTAACAATGAAACAGTGAAATACAGCTTAAGGCACTTGACGCTATATTTGCCTCTATTTCTACTTTGCAATTAAGTTACCGGGAACATTTTTCCTCAGACGTCTGCCGATTCAAACCAAGCTGGTTTAGGAAATGTGTAAGGTCGTGCTTCGCAGATTCTGCATGATCAGAGCCCCTCGCATTTAGAAACCATCGATTCGGCAAGGCGTGGTTCTTCGTCACTTTAACTACACGTTTCCTTACATGCAGCGTCTGCTTTTGTAGCTTTAAATGTAAAAACGAATGACGAGCGAATACCCTGTGTCTGGCAGGACGTTCAGCAAAGATACTAAGTAAATTACATTAATGCGCTCTGTTAATTAATAGATTGCCTGCTGCCTGTAAGGTTGCTAATTGTGCTTTTTTAAAATCCGAGTCAGCATTTAAGGCTGCTGTACATCACTTGAAATAATTGCGCTGCGATCAATCAGACGATAGAGTTGGATCATTTTAAACGCGTTTATCAGCCCTGTGATAAACGCAATACACGGTTCAATAATGAAATAGATTCTATTATATGAAATAGTATTATATTCATATCACAGAAATGTCAGTGAGTTACTGGGTGAAGGGGTCGCCTTTTATGGTTTTACATAGAGTAGTATCAAACAGGTTAGACGAACCGAAGTCATTCTTGTTACTGGCCAGCTACTATACATTAATACGACAAAATACAGTACGTGAGTATACTGGTGTGTGAGAGTGGAAGTAAGTTAGTGAGTCTGGAAGTACGGCCTACAGAGATTTACACCAATGACTGCATGTTGGCATTGACGGGGATACTGTTCGTCAATCCGTACATTCTCGGGTTTGGATTTAAAGGTGGAATTTCTGAATACTGCACGAGAGAATCTCCTGTCAAAGGGTGAAAAAAGCTTGTGTCAAGTTTACAATGCCGAATACACAGAGGAAACTACAGACAATATCGAAGAGACAATATCGAATAAGGAGTAAGCAAATGGCTTACAACGAAACCGAGGCCCACTTAAAGTTGAACTTAGAGGGCCTGACAAAGTTATGGTTTGGGAAAAGAAGTAAAATTAATAATAATAATAATAATAATAATAATAATAATAATAATAATTAAGTCAAATATTACACTACGCATTTTGATAAGACTCACGTTTTACTGTTGTTGCCTTTGTCATTCAGAAAACGTGTACTATTTAAGAATGGTCACGATTCCTTGTCTCACGATCAGTTGTCTCATTCAAAGACAAGTTACACCGTAAATAAAACCCCGCTCTATACCCTCTTCTGACTCATCCTTTTGACGATATCCATTAGTGAGTTTTTTTTTTAATTAAGGGCGATTTCTGCTTTTACGGTCTTGCCAATAGTCCCATAGTTTTCAGTGTACCCTGGAGAGGATCGAATTGTTACTGTAAATGTGAATATGAATAAATTATACATTTTATAAAATGCCGTTATATTTTCAGGATTGTAATTAAAGAACAAACCAGAATCAACAGAGACGTTAACACTTAGATTCTTCTGGTTAGGGCGCCGTCTGCTATGGCTTAATTTTAAAATAGGCTCTTAGGGTCCATAAATCTCAGGACTGATTTCTGTTGTTGTGTTTATTGTCAAAAATGTAGCAAATTATGATTGCGATCATGCCTATTTCTTCTTTTTATTATATTATCTGCTGTAGTAATGCACTGCTAATGGTTTAGCACTTCTTAATTGCCATACGAGGCCACAGACGTCATTCCAGCTTTAGCCAGCTTTACAGTCTTCTATCACATCTGTTCCCTGTGGATCTCCCTTAATCCTCTACCTTTCTTGCAGCCATTGACAATTCTCATAGCTACAGTACCTTCCTGGTTTCTCAGCTTGTAAGCCTTTCTGAGAATTGCTTAGATTTTAGACGTTTATTGTAAATGCCGCAGAATGTAAAATCTACAAACATTCTTTAAAGCTTTTTATCAATATGCACAGTGTTAAAACAATTATGACTGCTCCTGAGACAGCCCCTATTCCACTGTTTGTCCAATATTAGAACTGATGCTCTGCCGTCTCATATTCCCAATACCTCCCAATGAGCACATTCAGAATTCTTCATGCGTTTAACCACATGTGATATATAAAGTAGGCTTAAAATCTACAAAACCCACCCTCTGCTAATGGCAGGATACACAAAGGCCAATTTGTGAGATTTACAAAAGCTACTGATGGTGTAACAGTGCCTAGTACAATATATGGAATAGTGACTTGAATGTTGCGGTTTCAGAATATTGCAGGCCATTTCTTGGGACAATATTTGAGGTAATACAAAATTTGCATAGAGAAATCCTAACCTTTGAATGACCCACCTAAATTTTCTTCAACAAAGTGTATTTTAGTCCTGCTACACCACATCTTATGGAGGTAGAGAACTACAATAGAAGATCCCTGTCTAGGGCTTGCTGTGGACAGATCTGGTAACATTGTGGGAGTCTTCACAGGTTAGGTCCTTTCACAGCAGAAGAGATGTATCTGACTGGTTGGTCTGGCTACATTTAAAATGTTCTGGCACTGCTGCATTCCCTTGCCTGGTGTCACCAGATCCTGGCCTGTGTGGAGATCATTTATAAGGGGGCTTTGGCTTGCTTGGAATCATGGTGCCAGTGGGTGGATAGTAGAGGTTTGGAGTGCTGATGCAGTCAAAGACTATATTGTGGGGGTCCTTCGGTTGAATCTTGAAGGCAAGTACCAGTTCTTATGATTTATTGAATTTTATTGTGCATGGGAAAATAAGTTGTTTGTCCTGCTGTCAACTCATGCAGAAGTTAAATAAAACTTCTACCAATGAAGCAGTTGTCCTCTGGCTAAGTATAAAAGCTGATAAGTACTTTCCTCTATTATAAGCTAGAGTGATCTCTTTCCACATGAATGCACACTTTGTCATCATGCCAAATTTATACTTATTGGAACAAAAGTTTCTGTCGAAGGAACTGACTCTCAGACAAAGATTGAAAACATAGTAAATCTACAGGGAGAGTAAATTCATTGTGGTGAACCACAACCAAAGTAGTTATTTTAAGTCAAGAAATCTGATGTGGGATTGGATTTGTTTTGTAAAAGAAAGCTGTATATTGCTGACAAGCAATGCTTATTTCTCTTTGACTAATGCAGTACTTCCCTAATGCATTGTTAATGGCAAAATAATGACACACAGAATGCTCATTGATTAGCAAAGATGGCATCCTTAATCTAAACCATTACTAGGAAATGGTTTTATCCATGATAATTAACAGGACAAGATTTTTTTCTAGTCTGTTTTTTTGCTTATCCAGTAGTTTATAGGGCAACTCACAGCAGTTGGCCTAAAAAATAAAAAAAAAATACTCTCTGGTATAAATATTTTTGTAGTCCAGAGGGAGAGTTTCTTCTTTTAACTTTACCCCCAGTGAGCATGAATTCAAGTCTGTTGCTTTCCTGAAATGAGATTTTCCCTGATTACGGTAAAAAATAAAGCAGATCTCATGACCTTATCTGTTTTTACACTTTCCCCTTTTTCTTAGGCATGTCTGAAAGACTGGGTGCATTTAACAACTGCATGCCAGCATGACGTAGACCCTTGCAACCAACAGGATTTACCTTTCTGACAATTACTTAAAGATTCTCCTGTCCTTTTCTCCATCAATATATTCCATTGCAAATAAAAGCACATGTCAACAAAAGGCTAAGAGCTCCGATTGCTCCTTTAACACAGACAGGGAGAGAAGCTTGGGGTCAGAGCGCAGGGTCAGCCATTTATACGGCGCCCCTGGAGCAGCTGGGTTTAAGGGCCTTGCTCAGGGGCCCAACGGAGTAGGATTCCTCTGCTGGCTGCGGGTTACAGAGTGGCACAGCCACAGGCACAAATCCTTAGCCACAGTGCCACCGCACTGCCCCTTCAGGATGGAGTATCTCTACTTAGCCGAAGATACTGTACACTCCCCTCTAACAGTACCTAATCACGTACTGTGATGTAGGAATTTAATTTAATGGTGGTACGCAGACACCATCTTAAAGGAGCTGTTCTGTACCTTTCAGCTGTTACACTTTCATTTATGGAACTTCTTCCCAATCCTAGTTTATATACCATAGCATGCTGGTTATCTTTTGAATGCTGGGTCCTATGTTAGAATTAATTGTATTGTGTTGTACTGTGGTTTTGCATTGTGTGTGTCAGGAAACCTCTGCAAGCTCTTCTGTTTTCAGGACTGACACCAGTTCCGTATCCGTAAGCCTACTGCATGAGGTGTGTCTGGGTCCTTCTTGACTTTGTTTCTTGATTTTTAAAGCTATTGTTTGTAAAGTGTTCTGTAAAACGCTTTGAGAAGCCACGTTTAAATATGCTAAATAAAATCAAGTTTATTATGATTATTATTTGTTTGTTGCTTCTCAAAGAGCAGCTGATGTTTTAATGTGTCAGGGATCCTTTATC